AGAATGAAACACACGTTCAGAGTGACTGATCTGAGTGTATTTCTTAGCAACTGACTGGATTTCTTTTGGAGCAATTCTCTTTCTTTCTCTAGAATAAAACCTGGAGAATTGCTCCAGTTGTTTTATCGGGTTCCCTGTCTCCACTCCATCCTGGTTCTGCCTCTACTGCTTTTCTAATTTTACCGAATTCCCAGTGTTGCTTGCCCAAAGAGCGGCCGCTTCTAACCTAAGGTTTCTGTCAATGGTAAGGGGAGAATGAAAGGCATTCTGCAGAGATACTTACCTTCCTTCCGCGCCCTGCGATTGCACGTCCAGATCAGAGAAAGGGTTTTCTGAAAGGATGCTCAGGAGTGAGGGAGAAAACCTAGGCGGCCTCAGGAGAGTTTCTAACTTCCCTTGGGATCTTTACTTCGGGGAAATGAAGCTGAGGAAAGCAACCAAACAAGATCAGAGGCGAGGGCGCGGTCCTCCTCCCCCCCTTGCCAGGGATAGGGAAGACCCCATACCCTCTACCCCACTCCCCACCCACCCCACTCTGACAGATAGCGAGGGAACAAAATGGAGACGGAGATAATCCTGACTGTGTTTCATCAGATTAGAGCAAGAAGGGGAGGAGAGAGGGGGGGAAAAGAGGAAGGGGGACCTTGAAAAGCTAAGGGGATAAAGCTGTGGATGCAGCCAGACAACCGCCCCCCCCCCCCAAAAAAAAAATCTGGGGCAACCAGCCAGGCAGCCAAAGAGTTTTGGAATAAAGAAGACCCTCCGGCTGGCCTGGACGGGGGAGAGTTTGGGGCTCTCCACACTGAGGAGCCATTCCCCAAGGGAGTTGAAGGAGCTGCCGCCTGCTGATCAGATGCTCCTGGGATCTTTCCCCTTCTTTTCCAGCAGATGTTTATTTCACTCAATCTCCATTTCTTTTCAAACAAAAACCACTTATTTAAATAAACCAAGTGCTCCGATAATCCAAGGTATTTTTCAAGATCTTTAAATCTGCTCTGTGATTTTAGTCTTTTATTCCAGCTGCCCAGAGTCTCTTTTATAAAACATGTTTTTTTTTCCCCCACTCGGTCTCCATTTCTTTCAAAACAAGGTCAGTTGTTTAACTGAGCCAATCCTAGCATTCACGCAATACCCTGATAGTCTAAGGTATTTTCCAAATTATGCAAGTGTACTCCGTAGCTTTGATCTTTTATTCTCACTTCGTAGCGTCTCTTTTACAAAATGCCTTTCTTATTTCCGCCTCTGGTAAGTATAAGGCAACGAACGGTTAAAGATCACAGCCACCAAATATCAAATATTTCAAAAGAAATCCAAAGCTGTAGGAGTGTGCTTTGTTTTCCCAAACATTAGTAGATGGCACTCTCCTCCCAAATTTTCATGCTGCCTGTTTTCAGCAGATATTCCTTTCAATCAAGGTCCATTTCTTACAAAGCAGAGTCAATGATTTAAATCAGCCACGTCCAGCATTTACTCCATGTTCTAACAGTCCAAGTGATTTTTTCCAAGTGCTTTAACTCAGCTCTGTAATTTTAGTCTTCTATTTGGTTTCCCGGAGTTTCTTTTATAAAATGTCTTTCTTATTTCCACCTCTAGTAAGTGTGAGGCACTTAAGGTAGTTAAAAGTCACAGTCCTCCATGGGATATCAAATTCCTTTACCTCCTCCTCATAACTCTCCAGGAGTCGCTTTTCCTTTCCTCAGTAGATGGCACTCTTCGACTTGCTTTTCAACAAAAATCTGCTTATTTTCACAGCCTAAACAATACTCTTTTTAGAGTGTCTTATCACAGATTTTTTTTATTCCTTGGTGTTAATTTTTAAGTAAAAGAAGAATCGTCTCACCCAGGAACAGTCTCTATTCACTGCTCTCTTCACTCCTGCACTTTCTTAGGTGTTCTGACTGCCCCTGGTTTGATGGCAGCCATGTTGACTGACTGCCGCTGCTCCTCATCTTCGGATGAGGGGGATTTTTCCAAGTCAGGGAGGAGAGATGTGGGTCTCCTCAACCTGCAAGGTTCCCCCCTTACTTCACCACCCCTACATGCTGACAGGGAGAGCTTGGAGCGGGGCCGCAGAGCTTATGGTCCTTTCCCCCAACAGCACCAGAAGCACAGCCAGAAGCCTCTGAACTCATATTGATCTGGGATTTATAAGATGCGATGTGGTGAATATCTGTAGCTCGGAGAACTTGATGAACTCATGCACGTGTGTAGCAGGTGGTAGCATGGCCAATGATTCTTGCACAAGAATCATCGAAGCCTGGCACCCCACAAGCCCTTCCAACAGCTGGCACATTGACCCACAACCAGCCTACAAACCCCTCAGAATTCAAATCAACCACACAGCCAACCAGAGGCAGCACCAACCCTCAACCAACCCCCACAACCAGCACTTCACCTCCCAATGACCCTCACCGGAAATGACCTCCCCATCACAAGACCCTCACTTCACACACCTAGGTTCATCACAAGGTCTACGGACCACACAAAGCCTTTATAAGCAGAAGAACACTGACATCCCCTCAGCTCCGCTGAAGATGTTACCTAGCCTGAAATGAAATGCTCAGAAACCAACCCACAACCTCGGAGAACCAACCTCTACCCTCATTTAAAAAATGGTTATAACATATAGGTCTATTTCATCAAATTGTCTATCTCTGTCTCCAGCACTGTGTCTCAGTCATCTCTGGCTCTATCGCCTTGGCTCCAAAGCCTCTGGCTCGGTCGCCTTGGCTCTGTCATCTCCGGTTCCCTCACCCATGGCTCTATCCTTTATGGCTCCATCATCTCTGTCTCTATCATCTCCATCTTTTTACAGTAAGTGACAGTAAGCTAAGCAAGAGAACTGGGCAGCTTTTCTGTCTGGCCTGGGTACAGAGATCTGGAGTCATTAATGAGAAAAGAATCCATTCAGCGTTGGAAATGGCTTAGCTTTTCCTGAGTTTGGGGGGAAGCCCGGCGACCTGCACGCTACTTAGCTTTTTCCCCCTGTGGCTCAACATTTTGCACGCTCTTTTCCTTCAGCTGAATCAAATGCCATGAAATTGTCTACTTTGTTCCTTGCCACCCTCTCCCGCAAGTTATGCTTGCGGATTTAGGAGTGTTGCCTTTTGTGTTAGCATCTCCATTAAAAAACGGAGAAGGAAAAGTTTCTGGTTGATCCAAGAATCTGGGAAGGAAAATATGCTTAAAACAATCAGCTGGAGAAAACATAAAACAATCAGCTGCAGAAAACATCTGATCTCTGCAGCTCCATGGGTGAAGGCAGAGGTGGGCTTCTGCCAGTTTGCAATGGTTTCGGCAAACCGGTAGTTAAGGTTCTGCACAGTTTGGTGACCCGGCAAATCCCACCACTGGCTGGCCCTGTCCCCACTTATTTTGGGGCCTGTTTTCTAAAACGGCCCCAAAACAGGGCAAAAAATAGGCAGGGGTGGGGCCAGCCAGTGGTGGGATTAGCCCCAATTAGCTGGATCCTACCTCTGCTTTAGAGGTGAGTGTCCAGGAGGTGGGGGCTGGGTGTGATGAGTGACGTCACCCACCCAGTCACATGACCAACCTGCCACACCTACCCAGCCAGAGAAGCGGTTGTTAAGTTATTCCAATCCCACCACGGGGACAGCCGCACTTTCAAACAGGAAGGTCCTGAATTGGTATCCTTATGAATGGAGGGGAGACTGGACTTCCCTGCCCCACTCCTGTCTCCCTAGCCCAGTAGGACCTTACCATGACAACAAAGACTGACCTAGTAATCATGCAAAGCATAAAAAGGAAGAATGCCACGATGACCACTGTTCTGGGGATTGTGCAATGAAGGGGCTCTTGCTATCTCAATGGCAGTGGGTTAATCCTATTGTGTCCTAAAATTCACATCCTATCTTTAATTCCATCTCCTTGGGGCTGAAGGTGTTTCGTTTGTGGATAGATTGGCCCGGATTTCTTAATGGGCACAAAATCTCCCTCTCTATAAAGATTTCAGGCATCCACTGGGGGCTGTTTTACTATGTAGAAAGCTGGGGCTGCTTTCTGCCTTTAAGAGCACGTTTCTCCATTTTTCCTTTGAGGAAATACAATATTCTGCCCCTTAATATACCTCAAAATGTTTCATTCTCTAGGAGGGGGGACTTCCCACAGTAGACGTCTGTATCTTCAAATATTATGTCCAAAGGATGATTATTTGACCCTGGTTATTTGTGACTTGAGTTTTCACTCCTCTGTTTGATTGTCTCAATGATCTATTTGTTGGTTGTCTTGGCTATTCCTGGTATCCCTCCCTCTGCCCCCCCCCCCCCAACTTAGAAGCAGAGGACTCCACTATTGGCAGGTTAAACTGTAGCGCATATACATGTCGCACACTTGCTTTGCCTCTAAAGTCATCCGTTTATGGAGCCTTTCCAACGAAACTTCCTCAAAGGCCAGAATTTGGCCTGATATCGCTACTTGCTGATCCACAGTAGGTAAAGCTTAAGGAGGTTTATGAAAAGACAGGTTCGAAAGGGCATTTTGAAAAATGATCTTTCCTCCGTGCGCCAGGTGAGGAGCAGGAAGGGAAGGGGAAGTGTAGGAAGAGGAGAAGGATAGAAGGGGGAAAAAAAGGAGAATATGATGATATGAAGAAATTATTTTTTTTAAAAAAAAAAAATCAGCCCCAGCATTGCAAAATCTACCAGGACTTTCTAATGTCATTTTCCCACAATGCCCTTTTCAGTTTCATGGGCCTAACTTTACTCAGGGGCTTTCAAAACTACTTGTGTCCACCAGCCACTTTTTTCCTTGGGAGATCTTGCCCTTCTCTTTCCAGGGAGGAAGAGGCGGCTCCTGCCCTGCTGGGCCCACCGGCTACCTCCTCCCTGGACTTGGCAGCTTCTCTGCAGCCCTGAGACGTTCGACCGGGAGGCGGAGCTGGCTGCTGAACAGCCAAAGGCAGAGCGAGCGGAGTCCTTGCCACTTTCTGATCCCAGCTGTATCAGGTCTGGAGGAGGAGGGTGTGTGGGGAACAGAGCTCTGCCTTCCTCCTCAGGTGCCTCAGTGCTACAGGAGAGCAGAACAAGGGTGTGTTGGAGATTTGGATCCAAGGTGAGACCGAAGCCCTGAGCTGCGGTGCAATCAAAGATCCCGGGAACCTCACCGTTTCGTCCATCCAGGTGTCATGTCCGGTAAGGAACATCCCTGCGGAACCGCTGCTCAGAGCAGGAGTTCCTCCTTTGGAGACGGGACAGAAGAGTCGGAAGAGAAGGGCAAACCCCACCTCATTTGGGATGCTCACTTCGTGACATCTGTCACCTCGTCTCTTGAACACGTCTCTGATTTAGCTATGGGTGGTTTCAAAAAGGGGAGCCTGTGTTATTCTGCTTGGCTTAGCCGATATTTCTGTCCAGCTGGACCGAGCCGACAAGGGACGGAGTAAGCTTCAAGTTAACCAATTGTCGATATGCAGAATTGAGAATCTGAGTGGATGCCACTGGTTTCTCTCTTCTGTCTGTTTACGCAATCTGCAGAAATATCTCCGCCCTAGACCAGAGCATCCTCTGTCAGGTCTTGGAGGTGCAGAGCTGTATTTTGAACTCAGGGCTGTAATTTTCTCTTGTTTTACGCGTATTGTTCTTGGATGTAAAGACGACAGCCGTCTGGGCAGCAAATTCCTTTCCCGGTGCTCTCTGGCTCTTTCGCCTCCGTGTTTCACCCTGGTTTTGTCAGGGTATCTTTTCCCTTATCCGACTCCTTCTCATTCTCATGTCTGAACCGCTGTTCGATTCTTTGCAGGTTGAAGGAGCTTTTGACAGGGCTCCTAAACCTGGGGGACGCCCTGCTCTCTCACGAAAAAGAAGAGGGGAAAAGAAAGCCCCGAGAAAACAGAACACCAGGCCCGCTTTGAGGGGGCTTGAGGGACGTGGTCAAAAAGAGGGAGGGAAGGTCGCTCCTTCCTTTGACTGTGTTTCTGAAAGGAGGTGGAGGCCTAATCGCGCCTAGCAACTCTACTCACCAAGTCCTTGTAAAGTTAGGAAAACGAGTACAGGTGATCCTCGACTTACAACGTTTGTCGTGTCCCCCGGGGCCACATGAGGAGCAAAGCCAGACTCACCGACATACCGTGTTCCTAACTTAGCAACTGCAGTGACTGACTTCACAGAGGTGGCAAAGGAAGATCGTAAAATGGGGCAACAGTCACAACAAATGTCTCCCTTAGAAACAGAAATTCGGGGCTCAGTTGTGGTCGTAAGTCAAGGACTGTCTGTCTCCCTTTCCAGCTGCAGAAGTTCTTCCCCCTCTTCTTCCAGTCTCAAGCACGGTGATCACTTCAGAGAGAGAGAGAGAGAGCAACCCTGACGTCCCACTGACAGGGTTGCCAACCAGTCAGGAAGAGACTGGACTGCCACCTGTCAGAAATGATGTAGGCGGGGCCTCCTGCTTTGGCAAGGGGGGGTTGGACTAGATGACCTACAAGGTCCCTTCCAACTCCCTGTTAATCTTTAAACCTTTCCTCTGCCGTCTTGATGGTCTCACGGATGCAAAAACTAAGGAGATGTTCTGCTCTTCTGAAGAACATCCTTTCTCTTTCCAAGCCAGTCTCGTCGCTGTATACTTAAAACTGCAGTCCAATCTGCCTTTATTTATTTTATATCTCAATTTTACTTCTCCACTGTCGGAGGGAGAAAACGACATTGGCGTTCCTGTCGTTCTGTGGCTTGTCTTTAAAGTCTACCCAAGCAGTTGTGCCAGGAATGCAAAAAACGAGAATATTCTGGCCCTGTTCAGCTTCTCGTTGTTTTGCTGTTTTCTGATTAGCAGTGCAGGACCCGTTGCTGCGTGCTCACAAAATTGTGGCATCAACTTTTAGATATAAATCAGCCTGTACCGTAACCTCCATGCATCCAGGTTGATGGCTGGAGGTTAATTTTAAAGTCTTAATGCTGAACATTCAGAGGAAAATGGCCAGTCTCGCTTCCTGACTGGAAGATGGAAACCACGAACATCTCGCCTCCACCTCAGGTCCCGTGAGCCTCGCGCTGACCATCTAGAATCACAGGCAGGGACCTGCTGGTCTGCCACCGTTTCTCTGAAACAGGCTCCAATTTCTAAGGTGGATAAATCCGATGTCCGTTAAAGAGCGGATATTTGAGAAGGAAATGAACTTCACTGACAGGGTGGGAGATAACAAAAGAAGGGATGAGCCCCATTGGTGGACTACCAAGCTTAGCACCATAAATCAACGGTGTTTTTTCCAAGGGGCAAAATACTGGCTGCTAATAGCTGCAAAGTGATGCATGGTTTAAGCTGATGGCTTGCTAATGTCTCCGCCGTGGGGAGTGCTTGTGGTTGGAGGTGCTGAACAGAGGGAGGAAAAGCTTGAATGAGTGAGGACAGTTTCATTCTAGTTCTCAGCAGTCCTAATTACCCTCTGAAGTCTGTGCCTGTCCTGTTGGGTTGCAGAACCAAACCAGGCAGTTATAGAGGTACAGATGACAGACTCCATCATTCCTCTGTAGGGCTGGATCAGCAGCTCCTTGGGCAGGTCGAGCTTCTTGAGTTGGCGCAGAGAGAACATCCTTTGTTGTGCTTTTTTGGTGACCTTTTTGAAGTAGGTGTCCATTTTAGGTGTTGTGATATGACAGAACCTAGAAACTGGAAGGTCTCCGCTGTTGATACGATGTTGTCTAGTATTGTAAGAGGTGATAGTATGGGAGGGCTTCTCCTAAAAATCTACCACCATTTCTATGGGTTTAAGTGTGTTCACGTTCAGATTGTTCCAGTCGCACCACGTTCATTCGAGGTCCTGGGCAAAAAGAGCAGATGGGTGAGAGAGGGAGAGAGATTTATAAACTTTGTTGGCCTTTGAACTTGCTTCCTGTTCCTGTGGCATGAAATGTCTTCTGTTTGGTTGTCAGACTCCCATGGGGCCATGCAGGGGTAAGTTTGTAGGTTGTCTTGAGTCCCAAGCTTGGTGGAATCTTGCTGGGTGATGTAATGCTTTGGGCAATTCCTATTATGGTTGAATGGCTTGGTCCTTGTTTGGATCTGGCTAATCCCATCACACTGGAGCTGAAGGTCTTTTGTGTTGTAAATAAGATGTCTTTTGTCTTTCCGGGGCTATTGACAAAGATGGGGGCTGCTTTCCAAGAGTATGTTTCTCCTTTTCTCATCCGGGGAGTATAATATTCTGCCTTTTTAATATTTCCTAGAATGTTTCATTTTTCTAGGAGAAGCGGTGGTGCTAACTTTCTACAAGGTCTTCTACTGTTGCTCCGACCAGCTCCTTTGGGGCAAAAGTACCTCATCATGAAAACTTTCAAGGCTGTGGGGTCCTTGGTGTTCTTTGAGCTTGGCTGTTTTCTTGCAAACGTTTCTTGACCCAACTAGCTTACTTCAGCAACTGCTAGGAGGGAGGGGGTTTGCTCTCTGTTTACTAGACGTTACCTAGTTGGGTCATGAAACGCCTGCCACAAATCAGCCAAGCTCAGAGAACACCCAAGGATTCCACAGCTGAACCCTCAGCTACAAATGGAGTCTCTTCTATCGGCACCTTCCAGCGCAATCATGGTGACTCGATGGCTTTGTAACCCAGCCCTGGGGGGAGGCCTAGAAGCCATGGACTCCTTTCCCTTCCTGCTTGGAGTGGGCTGATCCCTATTTTCCAGCATGTACGGCAACTTCAGAGGCAGAGACAACCCTTTTGAAGAACTTGACCTCTTTCATTTACAGAAGGGATGGGTCTGGACCTTCCATAAAAGAGGAGGAAGCAGGGAGAAAGGATCCTCATGGTACACCTACCTTTTAGTGCCCAAGGCAGCTGGCAAGCATTACTATAACTTGCCTTGGTACTTGAACATTATTTGAGACACAGTTCTCTTTATTTGCCATTCCAATTAAGTGGAAGGCAGTGAGTGGAGAGATCAAATAGCCCCTGGATAAGAGCCCAGGTTGGCCTGAAAGGCCAAAGAGAAGTGTGGCACAACGGAAGGAAAGTGGCGGGGATGAAGCTGGAGTGTGAATCAGAAAACAAACATCCTCCAGAATGTTGGGCAAGATGGTTTTTTTCTCTCTTCGGAAAGTGGATGCCTTTGTGTGTTTCATGCGTGCGTTTGTGTACCCCAGAACAGGCAGTTGCTGTGGCTGGTGGAGTGGTAGCTGGACTTCTGCTCCTGGTCCTCCTGGGGATCGCCGCCTACCTCTTCTGGAAGAGCAGATATCTCAAGGCCTCTTACGAAGAACTGACTGGACCCGTCACCCCAGGTTTGCAGGAGCCAAAAGTTGCTCAATCGACTTCGGTCCCTCCTCAAAATGCCAGGTACAAAGGCCTCTTTTTCTGCCGGCCATCGCCTTCCCTTCCGGGACGGAGGCATAGGAGCGCTCTCTGCACCATCCTACGCTTTGGGAATCTCCTTCCTCCGCCAGGGATGGGGGATCCAGTCAAATCTCAAGCGGACGGCATCCATGGGTCAGGCTTTGGGGAAGGACAATCAGCCCTGGGACTCCAAGGCCTCTCTGACCACTGGGCGGGAGGCAAGGAGGCCCTCATCTCCCATTCCTCTCTACCAAGTAGCCCAGTAGATAAGATAATAATAATAAAAAAATAGGATGCAGATATTTAAGACCCGAGGATTCAAAAAATCAAACAATTGTTAGATAAATGAAATGAACAGCAGACGTTTTGCCCTTTTCCAGCTCTTTGAACAGTCCCTGTCTGCATAATAACAATATAAAACAACCACGAACAACTTAAAAGCCCTTCACATTAATAGCAAGACTGTTTCAATAGATTTTTTTTTTCCTTTGAGAGCTGGGGGAAACTGTTCCTTCTAATTACCAGCTAATTGGAGACAGGAGATGTTCCAGGAAAAATAACAAAGAGTAGAGAGTAGAAGGAGAATTGGGTAAACTGGGAGAAAAATCCAGTCTAGAGTTTGTATCAGCCCAGAATTTACACAACCTCTTCCTATCAAGTTTCCAGCCATTTTCTTCAAACCTTTGCATTGATCCACGATTAATAGGACTGTGGAAGCATCTTTGTCAGCCGTGCTTTGTAATGAAGGCATCTAAGCAGGCAAAATGCAGATTTTCAGAGCATACTGTCTATTCTTACAATGTTATCTTTAGATAAATTTCCCTGTGGTGGTTGAAGAGAAACGAAAGCAGTGTGTTAGGTTTCAGAATCTACTTGTCTTGAGATAATATGCATTTAGCCATGATTTGTGGATTCTCTGGGCGATCATGGGCTTAAGGTTGGGTTTCAATTCAAAACCATCATTCCATAGAAAAATTTAAATGTTCTGGATTTTTTTTCAAATTAAAATAAGCCCCCAAAATATAGAAAGCTTGGCTTTCTGCCTGTTACTCTTTCTCCCCCTTATTGATTTAAAAAAAATCTCCTCCTTCTTCTTCTTCCTCCTCCTCCTCCTCCTCCTCCTCCTTTGCATTTCCATTGGAAGGGAGGTAGATCTATTCCCAGGTCTGAGGTTGGAGCCCTGTTTTATCCACTCAATTGCCAGGGGTTTTAATCAGCAGCTGTTGACTTTAAAAGACTCAAGGTGACCCAATCTTGAAACGTTGCCCCAAGGAAGTCCTTTTAACCATTCTATCTTAGTTTTAGGCGAATTATTTTGGTCTTGTTTGTCAGATGGTGGTTTTATTGCTCTGATTCTGTTCATCCTGCTATTATGGCTGTTTCGTTTTAACTGTTGCAGCTACTTTGCTGGCCACTGATTGTCAGTAAGTATGACTCCGAGAAGAAAAGGAACATGTAATTCTAGAAAAAGGCCTGAAAGCAACGAGCACGATCTGATTAATGCCAAACACCCTTTTAAATTCTTTTGATTTTTTTGTGGGGCGGATTTCAGCTCCAATTTCTTCCATTTCAGTTGGAAGGGTTCCAGATATTTCAACCTTGCCTGGGTTGTTTTCAGAGCAGTTAGATTCCTGATATGCGTTTTGTTTCCTTAATATAACTCAACACTGTGTTTGCCTTTGGACAGAGCAAAAAGTGTTCCTTTCATTGTCCCACCCAAATTGCACCGACAAGGGTGGACCAATATGCTAAATGGAGAACAAATTCAAGAGGAGAGTGAGCTTTATGTTACCTCAGACTTGGGACCCCGATCCTCTTTCCATTCTTTAGGTGGGTTGGCACTTGTTTCGGTGAGTAATATGCCAGGAATTGGGGTTTGCCCCCAAATCCCAATTCTGTATTAAGTTCAATGGACATTGCTATTGCGTTGCTGTTTTAAAAAAAAAACCCTTTCCTGTTTAAATACAATAGTTTCCTACGAGTCTGCACAAACAGACGTATCTGCCAGAAACAGAGGAGGAGAATGAATAAAGTCGTTAAGGGTCAGAACTTGTTTTGATGGTGAAATCTGGTTCAGGATCACTTCCTGTATTTCCAGTGTCCCTCAAAAATCCTACGTGAGCATTTGTCCCAGACCTGGATTGGCTTCAGACCTATGTTGATCCCACAGAAGTTTGTCTTTAGAGAAAAGTTAAGATTATAATAGTTGATTAGGATGGACGAGACCTTTCAACGAATGCCCAGAAACTTTGCCTAATTTTATTTATTTATTTATTTAGAAGGTTTATATGGCCGCCACTCCTCCCTGGCTTTGGGAGGCTTACACACCATACAAACCCAGCATAAAAGAATAAAAAAACCAATACCCTTTCCCCCAGCAACACCACACAACCACACGAGGCGCTTGATCATCTGGAGGGAATGATTTTCATTGTCCGCCTGCTGGTTTGAATCACATGAGGAGACGGCACAAGTTCCTTGGGGGCCCCGGGGCATTGCTGTCTTTGCAGCCCTCCTCCCTCTGCTTCACTGGAGCAGAAACACTCATGGTGTGTAGAAGATTAGGAATTTGGAACATGGCCCTGCTAACCTCAGTGGGTGCCGAGGTCCTGATGAAACCACCAAAGTGCCAAGTTTAAGGTGATGTCTTAATCAAGGGACTGAAGGAGAGATTACAACCGTCTCATTTGTTCTCCTAAATTCTTTCATTTGGATGTCTATGGAGATTCTCAGCCATCCAGGTCATGGATGTTGTCCCAAAGGTGGTTTTTCAAGGGGCAGCTGGACTCTCTTGTTTTTTCCTTGAAGGCGTTTCACTTCTCATCCAAGAAGCTTCTTCAGCTCAACTGAAGAATCTTCTTGGATGAGAAGTGAAACGTCTTCAAGGAAAAACAAAGAAAGTCTTTTGAAAAACCATCACTGGGTCTTTCATTTAGATTTTAGTACATTGCTCTTGAGGTCTACTGTGAAATTTATAACACAGCAATTAATACTGCTAGTGGAAATATTTGTGCAAAAAGGTAACCAGATTTCCTCAGATGAACTTTTTCCAAAAATGCAACAAATCGTCCTGTCTTTTGACCAAGATAATTCTTTCTTATTTCTTATTTCAAAATACACTAGTGTTGTTTTTAGTTCCATATGTATTGTGGTCATTGACCATACATAAATGTCATACAATACTAAAAAAAACACTAGATTCAATATAGCATAGCATAGGTCAGTTTGTGAAGACACACAGGTTGTTTGAAAGTTGTCAACTTAATCCCAAGGTTTGTTATGACCTTCCAGGTACTGCTGTGCAATTTTAAGTGATCTGGTCATCCCAAAATGCATAAATAAAGAAAAAGGGTTAAATAAAACATTTAAATGGTTGGAATTCTATGCGATAACACAGAATCATTTGTGTGTATGAGATGTAGCTGTTTTTAATTAATGAATTAAGGGTCCACTGGAGTTGAATGACTATAACATTTAACTGGAGAAAATAATTTTTTTATTTTGGGATTCATTGATTATCTCCTACAGATTTATAAGCTAATTCCACTGAACCGCATTACATTTAAGAGGGGGTATGAAGTAACATTCAGCTTCTGTCTTGAAAGCTCGATCAGTCTCAGATACAAAATTATTCTATCACAATTGATTGAAATGCATGGATGACCCACAGTACCTACATTACAGTAGAAAGAACCAGGTTTTAAACACGTTTTCATGTTCATGTTTTGAACTCAGTGATATTGGCTGTTTCCTTTCTGTCCTCAAGCTGGAGCATACTTGGTAGGGACCATCAATCCAGAACTCTACCGGTTTCCAGAAGACAAGAGTGAGACGGATTTCCCAGAAGGAAACATTGGTCGGCTTTGGTTCTCCGTGGAATATGAAAAAGAGTCAGAAAGGCTCCTGGTATCCTTGATTAAAGCCCGAAAGCTGCGGCCTCCTTCTGGTTCCTGCAACCCCTTGGTGAAGATCTACCTGCTCCCTGACGAGAGACGTTACTTGCAATCTAAAACAAAACGCAAAAATCTCAATCCTCAGTTTGATGAGGATTTTGTGTTCCAGGTAAGCATTGCTGGAGATGAGCTTGATCACCTTCTCCCAGCTGCGGAAAGTTTCACGGCCTGGAAACACCGACTATTGTGGGGTTTTGAGCTTGGTTGCTTTCTTGCAGGCATTGCATATCCCAGCTAGGTAATGTCACCAGTGCATGGGAGGAAGGGAAAGGAGTTTATGGAGGAGGAAGAGGAGGAGGAGGAGAACTATGGGGTCCTTGGTGCTCCCAGAACTGGATTGTTTCCTTCTGGACATTTCATTACCCAGTTGGGTAACATCATCGGTGCTAAAAGAGAGTAGGGTTTCTGGGGAGGAAGAGTTGGAGGAAGGGGGAAATGTGAGATCCTGGGTGCTCTCTGAACTGTATTGCTTTCTTGTAGTTGTTTCGTTACACAAAATCATCAGTGCTAGAAGGTTTCCAAGGAGGAGGAGGAGTTCTGTGAGGCCCTTGGTGCTGCCTGAGCATGGTGGTTTTCTTGCAAATGTCTCATTACCCAACTGGGTAACGTCATCAGTGCTAGAAGGGACTGGGGTTTGTGCTTTATGAATCTATAAGTGGCTGCTTGCCCTGTCAGTGTTGGTAGAATTGTTGTTTTCTTCTTGGTGGTTCCTTGACTCAGGTTCAGGTTTTCAGCCAGCCAGTCACATGAGCCCCCAAACAATACCCAAGACCTTCCTTATCACTCCCAGATGTTGAGTTAGGAGTGCCCAACAGTGATCTGCTTGACAGATCATTCTCATTTGAAGGCAAACCATTGAATTATTGGATCCAAAGTTCTTTTATCCTTCGTGGACCCTTGGAAAAAATCTCCTATGGAGAAAGGATGGAGCTTTGTGTATCCCCAGAATTAAAATGAAGAAAGTTCTGCTCTACCCTGAATATTCCAGATTATCTTGGTCTTCCTCGTGTTCAGAGCAGGGGTGGGATTCAAATTTTTTAACAATTGGTTCTGTGGGCATGGCTTAGTTGGTGGGCGTAGCTTGGTGGTCATGTTATTGGCTGGGCGTGGCCAACTCAACATCACTCACATCGAGGCATGCATCTCCTCGCCTGGCCTCTCGTGACTGTGGGGGATGCTGCAAAAGTCGTAAGTGTGAAAAACGGTCATAAGTCACTTTTTTCAGTGCCATTGTAACTTTGAATAGTCACTCCACCCAAGCAAAGTACCAGCAAAGGAGGGGTTAAAAACTCCAGAGAAGTTCCTGAGACAGGAAGTCTAGTCCTGCTAAGAATGTAATAAGGGTTAATGGAGAGGCAGTTTCTGTAAGCAACAGCAGAATGTTTCCTTCCTGCCTTCCTTACAGGATTAGGCCAGTAATTTCTTCTAACAACCGGTTCTCTGAACTGCAACCGGTTCTAGCGAATAGGTGTGAACTGGTAGAATCCCAGCCCTGGTTCAGAGTCATGGTCAGATTCATCCCAACTGCTTCTCCTTCTGCGCTTCTTCCTCTCTAGATTTCAAGCACTGTTTTATTTCAGAAGACACTGAAGTTCTGTGTCTACCATGTGGATAAACAGAAGAAGCAGGTTCTCCTGGGCCAAGTGATCTTCCCACTGAAAAACGAAGCTTTGGCTGAAGACGGGAAGGTTGTCACCTGGAGAGACTTGGAACCAGATAACCTGGAGGTAAGGAATGAATGAAATATTAAGATCATGAGATGAATAACCACATAGTTTGTTTTGGGTTTGTTTATTTTTTTAGGACAACTTTGCAAGCAATGAATTTGACAGATCCTGACATACATTCTATGTTGGCGAGAATTCAGATTAATTAGCTTCCTCTGTGATTGGTTTTAACTTAACGCAGTCTGTGAAATTGCTCATTTGTGTGTGAGAAACTGTTATTTTATGGTCTGGGGGGGCTGTGGGGTCACCAAGAATGGGGCAGTCCTGGCAAAAATTAGTTGAGGCTGTTTTTCTTTTGATCCGTTGGGACCTTTTGCAGGCAGATTTTTTGCTTTCTGAGCTAGGCTAAGTCCATGTTGAGAGCTACAAGAATCAAGTATGTCCTGTCTCAAAATGGTGAGGATTTGTGCCATGTATATATTTTAGCAATAGTGGAGATTATGTGGGAATATAAATGAGGGAAGCAAGGATCAAAATAAGTCTTGAAACCTAAAACCAGGTACTTCTGACTTGCGTTTAAACTAAACCTTGATGTGTTCCTCAAGAAACCCTGGCTTAGCATTATATGTGACTACTGTATAATCAGCATCAGATTGGACGAGCCAAGAAAATCTTACTGATCTTATTTACCTTCTTCCTCTTCTCAGTCAAACAGAAGACCTTCGTTGAGGAAAGGAATAGGAGGTTGCCAATGTAGGAGAACCTTTCCCATTTCAATTTGAGTAGTGTTCTCCTCCTTCCCCACAATGCTGACCATCCACCAACATCTGGGGTGGATGAAGGAGGAGAATTAATTACAGACTCATTAGCTACGCCATTTCTAGTTTAGGCACCCCACTAACTGGAGTGAATAACAGTTCAAGTAGTGGAAGACATGTTATACAGATTTCTGACCTGTGTCTTCTTCTGCCTCCTTGTCCAAGCCACCTTCTGAACATGGCGACCTCCAGTTCTCTCTTAGCTACAATGACTACCTGGCCCGGCTCACAGTGGTGGTTCTGAGAGCGCGAGGTTTAAAGCTCCAGAATGAGAGAAACAGCACTGGTCAGTATGGGGGGAGGGAATATCTACAATATTTTGCTTCGTTTCTTTTCTTCATCTAAAATCTAATTTGTAGGAACAATGACGGAATTCTGAATGATAAGCCAGTTGATGATAACTTCTCATTACCAACTGGAAAATTGACCAAACTGACATCTTCATTCTCCAACCACGAGAGGAAAGCGGGCAAACTTTAAATTAAATTTAAATTAAATGTTTGAATATGACTCAGTTTGGATCTAAATTGCTACCCTATTTGGATTACGAAACTCCAGACCACCAGATGGCAGGATTGAGATATATTTCTTCTTTCTCTTTGCTTCCATCCAGTGGCCATTCAGAATTTTGCAGTAGCCTACATTAAACTAAAGTACCGTAATTCCTCCATGTACAGCCCCAAATTCCTCTGCTTCAATAACTGTTTATTCTCAAAATCAAACAATTTTATCCCCATTGGGGACTCAATGTTGAATGTCCTCTAAATATTTTTAGGAGATTTCAATATTTGCTTACTATTCTATCTATATTTGACATCTCACAATCTTACGCTGCAGTATTTGACATTTGCTATTTATCATTGGTGTATAAACTTACACTACAATACTCCAGTCTATTAAAAAAGTGGACAAATGGTGATTTATGAGGGCACTAATAATCCTCCACATTTTACATACCCTTAATTCTCTCTTTCCGAGGACACCCAAATAGGCAAAACATTGAGGCATTATAAAGAAAGGTCTACAGATTGTGACCAAAGTTGGCCAATACAAGGGTGCAATCAAAACTCTTTTTATGTGTGTTGCAGGTATGATGCAGATAAGACAGTCAGGGCATTATCACATTATTATGGCCACCATCTTCATTTTAATCGACACTGATAGTGCTAATTTCCCCTATCTTGATATCTACATGCTCATGTTGTGAACAAAAGATCTCAACTACCGGTGACTTTCCTCCCTTAGAACCATTTCCAAGACCTTCTGAAAGGTTCTCCAAGGTCAGATAGCTGGTGTTTTGTGAGTCAACACATCACTGCTTTCCAATGCCACAATGTTTGGGTCTTGGCTTTCCCTTGCAGTAATAATAGGATCTCTAGAAGATTTGACACATTTATTTAGCAAGTACCCCACTTCCAGCTTGCCAAAATAAAACGAATATTAACCATTCCGGCTCCAGGGACCATATTATTATATTGCTATAGCTTCTGGAGGCTAAGGGGGGAAAAAGAATGGAAGTTGTGTATTCCCACCCCTCTATATAGCTGAGGTAAGAATAAATCAAACTCACAATGTCTGGCTGAATTTAAATCCTATGGACTAGCATTGGAAGGAACTATGCATTGTGGCTCTCTGATAAGGCATCAAAAGATGATAAACTCAAAAGAATCCAACTTTAGAGTGAACTGCCAGACTTTCCTATTGGATGTTTGAGCAGCATACATTGAATATTGACCAAAGTTTGCTTTAGATGCATCTATATCTACTTTACAACAATATCAAATTTCCCATTATCCATGCTTACGTTGCCAGAAAATTTGGGGTATTGTTGCAGGTGCATAAAATAAAATGAAATAAAATTAAAATCATGTTTTGTATGGCCTTCTTCCGAGGTGCCATTCTGGAGGTTGTGTTTGAGTATTGTTTTCTTCTCTATGTTTCCAACCTCGTCCCGTTGTCCCAGGTGTGTGTGTCAGAGTGTCCCTAATGAGCCACAGCCAGCTCATCAAAAGCAAAAGGACCACAGCTATCCTGGGATCCTCCAATCCGTCATACAATGAGACATTTAGCTTCAAGGTGGATCAGCCAGAGCTGGATGCAACCAGCCTGAGCTTGTCTGTTCTCCAAGGGGATGACGGTAAGCAGCCCGTGATGCTACTCCCCAGGAGTCTTGGGGACTCGACTCGCGTTAAGCTTCCACCATGATCTTCGTTTAATCCCCACGGTTTTTGTGGCTTTGTTTAGAGACCTCCACCCTGGGCTGTGTGATTGTGGGGCCCTTCATGTACACCCGGGGGAAGGAACTCGAACACTGGAACGAGATGATCAGTAAACCCAAGGAGCTGGTGAAAAGATGGCACGCGTTGTCGCTTAGCAGCTGAAAACTCTCCCAAGAGAGCTTCTGTCCCCGCGGTGAGTCCGATTCAGTTCATCACAGAAGTTCTGGGCCTCAGGGATCAAAGACAAGGGACAAGCTTTCTCCAAGAGGTTGGGTTTCATGCCAGTAGATTATCTCATATGACCCACTGAACGAAAATGAGAAGACTGTTTGATCCTAAAAATGAAAAGAGCCCATCAATCACTGAGAAATAGGCACTCGCCGTCTTGCTATTTTGATCATAACTGACATTTCATGGCCTTAACCCCAAAAGCTCTGTGAATTAGTAGTGTAATGCACCCTTAGGTATAACTCAGAGCTGAAATCAAGGGGTTTAAAGGTACCTATGTCAGGGCAGTTTTGCTTTAACCCCAGACAAATTACAGTTTATACAGCGATCACCTTTCCAAGGACTCTTCTAAAATAATATTGCAGCATTCCTGTGTCTATTGAACCCAATGGAGTGAACACTCCTAGTTCATTTTAGTTATGTGTTTATTTAGTCCCAACTCAAAGCAGTGGCTCAGTGTGGTGAAGACGGTTGGGGCGCTGGACTTGTCAGCTGGAAAGCTGGCAGCCCTAGTTGGAGACCCGAGTGAGCTCCACGCAACAGGGTGAACTGCCCTTCCTAGCTCAGCTCCTGCCAAGCTAGCAGTTTGAAAGCAGAGAAATGTCAGTAGATAAATAGTACCCCTTTGGTGGAAAGGTAAGAGCATTCCGTGATGTCTTGCTGGCTACGTGACCTCGGAAATGTCCTTGGACAGTGCTGGCTCAATGGCCTTGAAACAGAGATGAGCACTGTCCGCCCCTAGACCCAGCAATGGCTAGTTGAGTCAAATCCTCCTCCCTCCCATCTAAAATATTTCCCAAGCTTATTTATTGTTCACCTTGGGAACAGACTTGTAAGCTTTCATACAGGAGTCCAGTAATTATCAATAAAGAACTGGATCACCTTGCAGAGTCAGAAAGAAGTAAGGATCAGCCAGCTGTTTTAGTGAGCATAAATGTTCTAGCTATTTCCTTGGTGAATGAAGAACGGTTGCAGGAATTGGATTTGTCTAGTTTAATGGAAATAAACAGTGAGGGTGACATGATAGCAGTCCTCCACTATCTAAGGGGCTGCCCGAAAGAAAGATCAACCTCTTCTCCAAAGCCCCTGAAGGTGGAACAAGAAACAACGGGTGGAAACTAATCAAGGAAAGAGGCAACCTAGAACTAAGGAGGAATTTCCTGACAGTGAGAACAATTAATCAGTGGAACAACTTGCCTCCAGAAGTTGTGGATGCTCCAACACTGGAGGTTTTTAAGGAGGAATTGGATATTTGTTCTCTTGAAATGGTAGTTTCCTGCTTCAGAAGGGGTTGGACTAGATGACCTCCAAGGTCCCTACCAACTCTGTTATTTCCCTGCTTACTATCAACAGTAGAAGTGGACATTCAGATTTCTATCACGGAGTTCTCAGAAATTTTGTTTCTGCCATTAAAAGAGAGTTTAATCCTTTAGTCCTTTTCATAGGGAGGGACAATTGCACGCCATGAGTTATTTCTCTTCCGTTAGCAACAGTTCACTAATTATTTGCCTCCAATTTTGGCAGAAAACTGGCAGATAAACGCAACAATGGGGAAAACGAAGTAATCTGCAACCGTGATGTCTGCGTTATTGGAACTGTCTCCTGTTATGTGAAGACTTTTCCCACTCTCATGCTGTCTGACGCAGCTCGCCCAAATTCTGCCTTGATCAAGGAAGTCTTTTAGCTACTCCATGATTCTTGAAGAATGAAATTATAAACCTCTACACCAGGATTGCCCAAGCTTGGCAACTTTAAGACTGCTGGACTTCAACTCCCAGAATTCTCCTGGTTGGTTCTCAAAAAAAAAAAAAAAAACCTCACCTTTTAACCTGAGGTTCAGTTCAATCTTGGTCAATTCTACTCTTGGGATCCTTTTGCTACGGTAATGAATAACATGTTTAAATAACGTTATTTAAACAAATTTGGGGAGGCGAGTATCAAATTATTTCAGAAACTCCTCTGAGAGTCAACTTGTGACCTATGAATTTATTCCTTAGCTCAAGAGCTCTCCAGCAAAGGAAAAAGATAATCAGGAAATTAACTGAAACAGGAAAAGTGGTTTTTGTTTATTGTTTTGCCAGAACAGGATACAGTATTAATGAGACCAGTGCCCTTTTGCGGGATTTTATTCTTTGCTGCATAATGATGATTAAAGGAGTTCTGGTCCAGCACCAACCTGCCCTCCACTGGGTGGCTTGTAAAGACTTTGCCCATCGTGCTGTACTAATATGTTTCATTTTGGCTTAGCTCCTGTTGTGGGAATCCAGGCTCTGTGATATATCGTGGACCATATTGTGGCGTTCTTTCACTCGTGACAGGAGACGAGCTTGTCAATGCTGACGGCAGCCAGATAATACAGACGTGTCAATGTACATTGACCCACCACTATGGCTGATGCTGGGAGACTACCGTCTGGGTGCAGGCTGGATCAAATTCTAGCCAAGCCGAGGATCCCTACAGTATTGGCAGCCACAGTGTGGTGTTAGCTCACGCACTCCCCTTGTTCCGTAAACCATGCGCAAGGGTGATGTGTGGACCCAGGCGCCCTGTGCTTTTGTGAACCAACTGTGATGAAGACTGAGCATAATATCTCTGTGCTGTGTGACGGCTGATCTATAGTGAGAGAACCTGTCCATGAACATGCCTTTTGAGCCACTTCTTGTATATTTTGATGGTCTGTCTGTCCTGCGCTGTGTTTTGTTAAAATAAAATATTGCAAAGCCTTGGTAAGGAGGCCTTCCCACTCTCCCTGTCAGGTGGGCATTGTGGGTCTCATCTTAAATTGAGGGTGGTGGTGTTTGTCCAACCTTGGCTCCTTTAAGACCTGTGGGCTCCAACTCCCAGAATTCTCAGAAAGTCATGACTGGCTGGGGAATTCTGGGAGTTGAAGTCTACAGGCCTTATGCACACCCTGTCTTAAATAAAGGGCATTTGAAGATAATAAATTGGTACGTGTTTTCTAAGAATGGCTGCCCATCGTCCAGAGACCCCGGTAGCAGGTTCTGCCTGGCTTCCTGCAGTCAGGATCTCTCACAGTTTTCAAAGTACACAATTGAGTTGGGTACAAGTAGCTCCAGGAAGGTTGACACAAGCCAAAAGAAATGTCCCTGCCGACGTAGGAAGCCACTCAAGTAGTGAAAATTGCTATTGTAAATACTCTGGAGAAGACAAGCAATGGCTTTTGCTGGCTGCCAGGATATGGCTGCCTCTCCCCACTGTGTGGTGCTTTGGCTGAAGGAGCAGCAGAGACGCTCCAGGAAGCTGCCGAGAGTCTGAGGGCAGCTGCCCCCCCTCTCCTCCTCCTCCTCCTGTCAGGGGAGGGGAAACCCCTGCAGATGTCTCCAGGTGTTGCCCAGCTAAACTCCCAGCCGCCTGCACCATTGGCAGCCCCAACAGAAGAGGCCGATTTGGCTCAGGGTCAAACTGTGGGCCCCTTGGCACTCTCTGAGCTCGGTGGTTTTCTTGCAGACCTCTCACGACCCAACTAGGTAACGCCATCAGTGCTGAGAAACGGGGGGGGGGGGGTTTGCTCCCAGTACAAGAGCAATGCAGAAAGCCCTCCCCCCCCAGAGAATGAAATATTTCGGGGGATATTAAAAGAGGCAGAATATAATACTTCCCCAAAAGGAGAAATCTTAACCAAGGCAGAGAGAGCAGCCCCAACAACAACTTCCGGCAAACGCCCGAATTCTTTAGAGAGGGGAGGTTTTGTGCCCATTAAGAAGGAAGGACTGGGCCAATTTAGTCACAAACAAAATGCCTTCGGCTCCAGTGGATGGGATTAAGAAGGACAGGATGCGACTTTTCAGGACATGACAGTAGGATCATTAACTCACCACCACTGAAATAGCAAAAGATACCAGAGCTCCCTCCAGGGCACAATCCGCCACCCCACTTGGAGCATCGAAAGCAGCACTAAACCCCAAAGAATGCCCCAAAGCCCACCTCGGTCCCAACCCTGTTTTGTCAACTGTCCCAGAACTACATGCTGCGGTTGGTTCTGCCAGCTTGGAACTGGACCTGGAACTGGACTTTTTTTTCCAACAGCCACATTTTAAGATTTTAAGATTTCAGCTTCTCTCTACAAATCATAGGCTCCACCGAGTTAAAACCCCTAAATTACCCCAAAAGGTAAAAGAGTTATTAAATACACTTAAGGCTGCATTTTGTATCTGAACCTATTTTCCAATGGAAGAGACTGAGATATAGATTCCCTCGTCCACCCAGTATCTTTTAATCAGGTGCATAATTTAAATTCCATTTTCTTTCTCTCTGATGCATTTATTTGCTTTGCAGGGTGACTGTATTTGGCACATCTCCTCCAGGAAGTAAAGCGTTTTTTTTTTAATGCAAATGTAGAAATTCCTGCCAGAGGTTTGATAAGGTGGCTAAAGCTACCATTTGTAAAGAGAAAAGCTTCTTTCTGCCCTTACAATATTTACTTTGAAAAGTGGCATTTCTAATAGATAAGCTGACACAATGACACGAAGGTGAAAATTGGGGCTGACGAAAAAGGGTGCGGCAAGGAAAAATATATTTTTAGATGACACATTTAAAAATGTTGACAAGGGAGAGTTTTGAGATGTCTTTCACTCTCAGGAAATTCCTGAGGTCTTGGGGATAAAAGAAAAACGCCTTTTGAGTGGCTGAAGGAACCAGCACTTTTAAATCATACAAAATGTATTGATAAAAATAACACGGATTCATTCCAAGACGAACAAAAAACAACACCCTCTCGTCCCCGTTTTACATCTTTTTAAATGTGGCTGTGACGTTGAGTGAGGAGCCCCATTGGAAGCAGCTGCTTCAGAAGTCGAAGTGGAACTCCAGCCGTTGGAATGGTTTGTGGTCCCCCTTTGCCACCTTCTGACAAGCAAAGTCAACTGGGAAGCCCGAATCACTTAACAACCGTCTGACTAACTCGACAACTGCAGGGGTATCTTCTCCATCAATCCGGATGCCAGCCGAGCAGAGACTTCATAGTCGTCCGAGCAGATCTCAATGAGGAAACAGGTGGGGGTGAAGGGGGGAATTAGCGGAATTTCAATGTACTGTTTGGTGTTTCCTGCTACAAGATACTTAAGGATGGTGTTTCATCTCCAGTACATGTTATTGTTTACCTCAGAGTGTGGTATTGTGAGACAGCGAGATGCCGTGACTAATTAAGTACGAAAGCCACTTAATTATCCCCCCCCGAATCCGTGTTTTTCAACCTTGGAGCTTTTAAGATGCCTGGATTTCAACTCCCAGAATTCTCCAACCAGCATTGGCAAGAAAACAGAAACCAGGACAATACAGGGAACCCTTGACTTACGACCACAGTCGAGCCCAATGTTTCTGTGGCTAGGCGAGGCATTTGCTAAGTGAGTTTTGCACCATTTTACGACCTTTCTTGTCGCAGCTGTTAAGCAAATCGCTGCAGGTGTGAAGTCACTAAGAGGGTTGAGGAGGGAATCTGGCTCCCCCATCGAATCTGCTTGTCAGATGGTCGCAAAAGGGGATTCCCGGGACATGGCGACCGTCGTAAATGTGCGTGTCAGGTTTCCAAGTAATGAAATCCACGTTCAAAGAAAAATGACAAAGTCCATCTTCCAAAAGATTTCTTTTATTTAGGAAAACATCCAATTGGCAAAATCCATGGTAATTCCAGATCTGACCCAACCCAGAATTACCCGACAATATTAGAAGTTAGAAACAACCCCCCCCCCCCAAAGTCACATTCTCCAATAGAAGTAATACAATGTTGCTCGATGTCATAAATCTCCACGTCCAGGGGCTCAATCCCGGACAGCTCGTTTCCTGCCGGAAAGAAGATCACCTAGCCAAAACACTCTCTTTATCTCCCCGCCACCACCCCCATAAATTGTCCTTTACTGCCACCTGGTGTCAGGCAACCAGAAATTGGCCATAACAGAGTAACAGAGTTGGAAGGGAGTTTGGAGGTCTTCTAGTCCAACTCCCTGCTCAAGCAGGAGACCCCATGCCATTCCAGACAAGTGGATGTCTAATCTCTTCTTCCTACACCTCAACTCTTTTGGGTCCTAGACCTCAAATCTTTTGGGTCCAGGTGACCCAAAACTCATGGATACATTGATGGCCCTAATTCTCTGGCTCAATTGGTTGGAGAGTCTCCTCTGACGGCAGCATCTGGGTTCAGGTGCTCTGTTTCCAAAGGTTGCCGAGTTATCAGTGGAGGTTAAGATATGAGAAAAAGACCACCTCCACCCTGTTGGAAGAAATATCCATCTCCCCAAGTGGAGAGAAAAAAGACACTGGAAACATGGAGGCTGAATGGAAGGATAATTTAATGGAGCAGAACCATAAAACACATGGCCCTGGTGCGGCTGAATCCATGGGGTTGAGAGGGAGAGGTATTTATACCCTTGAGCTTCCTGTTCCTGTGTAAGAAATGTATTCTATTGGTTGTCAGACTCCCAGGGAGTCTATGCAAGGGTCATCACTAACTTTTGGGGTTGTCTGAATTAAGTTTGGTTGATCCTTGAGCTGGGTGATGTAATGTCCCCAGGTGATTTCACAATGCAGTGAGTCCTGCTGCTGGGTGGGTAGAGAGCTAATCCTATTATGTCCTGAAGGCCACGTCTTAATCTGGAGCTGAAGGTCTAATTGTCTTGTAGACAGGATGGCCCGGTCTTCGTGGGGACCAAATATCTACTGGGGAGCAGGGAGCTGCAGGGAGCTGCTCTTTGTCTTTAAAAACACGTTT